TTTCTTTACACATAAATTGTAATGTGTTTAATATACTTTAAATCCCAACCATCAGAACCTTTCAAATAGTCATTGTGCTGTAAGTTTTGTATTTGTCTATAAAACTTTTCAAACAGATACTTTCCTATTTATTCTTAATATTGTAAGAACCAGACTTCTGAAAACTGTGTACCTGCCTTTCAGATAAATTTTAGATTATGAATGATAATTACAGCCTAATTTGTCTGCTCATTTTACTAGGATGACTTCAAAGTGTTACAGTAAAACCAGTCTCAAGGTTTTTAATTGTGTTTTACATAGCATAAAAAATTGTAAGCTAATAAGAGTAACTAAGGAAATATGTATCTTTTCTGAGATACAAAAATGCATGTTGCTATGCTTCTAAAACTTCATGAAAACATGATTACTTTGACTTAGTTAGAAACACAGATATTTTTATTAGAATTTAGAGCCTGACTAGCATCATTTAAGGGAACCAAAGTCTATCAGTTACTGACTTAAAATTTTAATTTCTAAGAAGCATGTTTTTCAGCTATTTATATTTTCTTCCAACAATAAGCTAGATGATTAGTTTGTTATAGTAGAAGATTCATGTCAGAATTGGTAAAAGAATTTTAGGTAGAATGGAATGCTGAATATGTAATTAAAAATCCATCAGATGAATAAGATAAGCAATTGTAAAGGCTTTTTTTCTTCTAATTCGATATTATTTGTAAATAATTTATTCAGAAAAATGATTTAAATGAATATAGACACATTAGTTTGAAGATCTTTATAGTCTGCTTTGTAATAAACTTTTTCAGGTACATTTATGAAACACAAATTGGAGAATTCTTTGTAAATTGATTTCAAGTTTAAAAACAATATTTTATTTCAATTTTTACAGTTACTCCAATTGCATTAATAGTCAGGCTTACCTTTTTAATTCTAAAAACTCCAATAGCCCTCTATATTTAAAGCAAAGCAGTGGAAACCATGGCAGCTTCTTTAGTTACTTTTGAATTAGATTAGTATTTAAATCTGTAATTAAAACTCAATGAAGAGCATCATCCATACTCTTTATCAGTGGATGAGTTGAAAGTAACTTATTATTAGTCTGCAGGTTTACTTTGTTTAATTTTAAATCCTTCTCAGTGTCTCGGTTTTGATCTATAGCCGTCATAAGTTATGATACAGTGCATTCCTCATTGTAAAGAACAATTGGAGCATGCTATGTTTATGAATAGCTAACTTTACGTTCTGGCTTTTGGCTATTACTATGGACTTTTCAAACTCTAGCAGTGGTTCTCAACCTTCCTAATGCTGTGAGCCCATGTTCCTCAGGTTGTGGTGACCCCCAGTCACAAAATTATTTCATTTCTACTTCATAACTGTAATTTTGGTATTGTTATGAATGATAATGTAAATATCTGATATGTAGGATATCTGATATGTGACCCCCTTGGGAGTTGGGACTCACAGGTTTAGAACTGCCATCCTTTAGGATTATAATTGAGGCTAATTTTATCGAATCATTTTTGGAATGTTAACGCTCTCTAAGGAATGAAAAAATTCTTACGTGCCTTTAAACATCTTGAACAGGTATGAACATCATGTTTTTCAGATGTAGGGGTTTGTCTTTCTGTGTTGTTTAGACTTGTCTCCATCCTTCCCCCTTTGGGTATTTGGGACAACAGGTACATGCTTTTATGGATCCTGGTTGACTCTTCCTGGCCCCTGTGTTTGAGAATGAATCGATTGTAGTCTACCCATGAACCATCAGAGTGAATTTACTTAGTGTTTGGGCTTGAACTCAGGGGTTCATACCTTTTAGGCAAGCACTCTGCCAGCTGAGCTATCACCTATCTCTACCTTCTAAAGTAGACTTTCATCTCAGTTTGACTAGTATCTATTTTTCAGAAAGTTTAAAGTCCCTAAAATTTGTTCATTTGCATCTTTAAAGAATGTACTGTAGAGTTCCACTATAAAAACAAGAACTTATTTTTATAATATAACTATTAAAGCCCAGGTTAGACAGACTACTTAGTAAACATGAGGGACATTTAACAGCTCAGAATAGACGTACATAGTCACATTTTACTTCTATCTTTTTTAGAATATAAAAATAGAGACTATGAACCTTATTTTAAAATACCCAGTGTTCTAAATATGTATTTGAAATCTATTTAAATAATCTATTCCATTGTAGTAATCATTTAAAAATTTGCATTTTTTGCCACTATGTGCAAGTAAGATTTCACACCATCTTGGGTAACTGTTGTCTGTCTTGACAAAACAGAACCAGAATGAATGATGCTTTAGTTGTTTATTGTCCCCTCCCTCTCATTGTTTTATAATTCTTTTGTCTTATTGAATTTCTCCTGAGAGACCCAAGTTGTGCTGGGAAAACAACCTGAGCTTTGGAAAAAAACAGAGCATGTTCAAGTTCTGGCCTTAATACTGTATGAGGCTGGAGAGCTGGTTCAACAACTAAGAGCATTGACTGCTCTTCCACAGGACTGTGGTTCAACTCCCAGCACGCACATGGCGCCACACAAACTTCTTTAACTCCAGTACCAGGGGATCCAATACCATTGTCTAGCCTCTGTGGGCACCAGATATGCATGCAGACAAAACACACATACACATAAAAATTAATTAATGAACTAATTAATATTTAGTATGTGGCTGAGCAAATTTCATTAGGTTTCTTTTGGGTAAAATGTCAGTAAAGATGAAGAAGATACATAATTAGGTTGTAGGGAGAATGAAGAATGATATAGTATTTCCTTATAAATTCATTGTTCTAAATTTTGTTTTTTTTTGTTGTTGTTGTTTTGTTTTGTTTTTTGAGACAGGGTTTCTCTGTAGCTTTGGAGGCTGTCCTGCAACTAGCTTTTGTATACCAGGCTGGTCTTGAACTCACAGAGATCCACCTGCCCCTGCCTCCTGAGTGCTGGGATTAAAGGCATGCGCCAACAATGCCCGCTCATTGTTCTAAATATTAACTCACTAATAACACCTGTTACCTTACTTCATTACAAATTTGAATTTGGGGCCATATTTTGGTCAATGGTAGACAACTTTCTTCATTTGTTAAACTGAATTCATTCATCGGATTCTGTTTCATTTATAACATAATCTGCATTTTTATCCCTATTGGATTCTATTCTCCAAAGTTTCTTCTGTATAAATCCATTGATTTGAATATACATCAATAAGCTCTGACAACTATCTTAGACATAAGAGGTTGTATTTTATGGTTTTTAGCAAATCCCCTTTCATGTTCACTATCTAGTTTGCTTCTCTGTCATTGTGATAAAGTATGACCGAAAGCAACTTGGGGAGTGAAGAGTTTATAACATCATGCTAGTTCTAGAACTCAGACAGTAATCTGGAGCTAGGAACTGTAGCAGAGAGCATGGAAGAACAGTGTTTATTTACTGAGTTGCTCTCCATGGCTCGCTCAGCTTGCTTTCTTTTCTACCCTTGAACTGTCTGCAAGGGTTGGCACCTTTCATAAATGTGTGAGACTTTCCACACCAGTCATTAATGAAGAAAATTCCCTGAGATGTGTTCACACGCCAGTCTGTTGGAGACTTTTCCTCTGTTGGTAACCCCCTTCCAGTTGACTCTAGTTGTGTCAGGTTAACAAAATCAGCCCACACTTTCAGAATACATTTTCTGTTTCCCCTAACATCCTATTAGTTTTGGTTTAGCCATAGTCCCAAGGGACTAGAATTTATTTATACTGTGTTGTGATTGTGGTTTAGCAGTAGAGCTGAATTGTTCTGATAAAATTAGAAAAGCCGTAGGAGTATTTTAGGGCTATTGCAGATAGGATAGAGGGACATTTTGAATTGCAGGAAGGTCACTAAGGATCTGTGTAGTTGTGTCTTGGAAATCTGCTCCATATTTAAACACTAAATCACATAAAATTAACTATTTTCTTATTTATTAGATATCATTTTCATTGGACTTGCTTACTCACTAATTTTTTTCTCAGGGTTTTATAATTTCATTTTGTGCTCCCACTACCCTTGAAATTAATAAAATGTGATACTTACATAATTTTAAATAAAAATTGATAGAAGTGTTACACAAATTGATGAATTGCTTACATAAATTGTGATACATAATATAGTGCTAGAGGAGGCCTAGGTAATCTATGGTGCCTTGGGTAGTATTTACCCCTGCGTACAAATAGACTTTGAGTGCCCATGCCACAATATGGGCTACTCTCTCCGCCAAGACTCTTGGGGGGAGATCCACCATGGAGTGCCTCACCCTCCTTGGGGATAGGACTGGAGATTGGGTGGGGAACTAGGGGACCTGGTGGGGAGGGCGGGGGAGAAGGCGAGGGAGAAGGAGCTGGGATTGACATGTGAAACATGATAGTTTCTAACCTAAATAAAAAAAAAAAAAGAAATTGCAATTTAGTCACAAGGACAATACTCATGATAATTTGATAATTTATGTAATTTAGTTATAGTTCTACATAAGCAGTATGTTTTCCCTTGGTGGATCACATTGAAAACATGTACTGTAATTGTCTATAGTAAAAGCAAGCCTAATTGTAATACAATAGAAAATTAGCAATGGTTTCTCTTACTAATATTATAATGAGTAATTTTCATTGGCTGTATTTTTTTTGCATTTTGAATGTCCTTTTTTAAGTATATTGTCCTTATTCAAAGTATTCAACAAATGATGTTATAAATAAGAAAATATACAAAAATGTTCTGTTAAGCTTTTTGTTATAAATTTTACCAAAAATAAATGTGACTCCCCATCAAAATAAAGATTATAAATGCAGTCTAGAATTTTTGAAGCATTTGTTGGCTTGGAATCTTTTGTCTTTTTTTTTTTTTTTCTGTTTCTCACTGGTCCTTTCTCACTGATGTAGTAACAGACCCTATAGCCTATAGAAAGCATGTTGATGTCTACAGTGCTCATTTGATCATTTCATTCTGTCAGTATTCCTTATCAGTCAACTTTTTTTCCTTTGGATTCTCATCTAGGTTATTACTTTTGGTGACTGCCTCCACTTTATGCAATGTATCAGTCCGTGTCTGAAACTAGACATCCTTTGCAGTCAGAAGAACAAGAAGTAGGCATTGACCCCTTGTCCAGCTATTCAAATAAGACTGGAGGTAAGTTTTGTGTGCAGATGCTCTTTCCATATGTTAGGAACAGAGGGACTTCAGTAAGTTCTGTCCACACTATAGGTGTAAGTCTTTCCATGAAGCTAACAGAACAACATTAAGAACATTTTGCTAGATATGAGTAGAATATTCATGATGCTAGTGAATACCAGAGAAAGTCCCCTTTGCTATTGAAGGTAGGATACACATTAACCAAATATTCAACACCCTGTAATTCTTAAAGAAAGCTACATTCTAGACAATACCTTTAGTAGATAATCATTGTTGAAATTCAAAATGCCATTTGTCAAATAAGTTTTGAAAAATGACAACTGTTGGTATTGACTTTTCAATCAATCTACCCTTGGTCCCCCTCCACACACATATTAAATTGAGTTAAATTCTAGGATGAAGTTTTTGGTAGTGTTTCAGTTTTGTTTCTTTTTTGTAAATAATTGAAATTTGTGTCATACTCTTATAGATATGTGCAATAAAATTAAGTTGTGGATTATTGAAAGATATGCATTGTTGATGATCTACTCTTTCAAATGTGCCATAACTAAATATTCTATTATTTTTCCATATTTACTTAATGGTATACCCTCTGAAAGACATGAGTTTATGAAAACTCTTGAAGCCTCATCCTGATTCTTGAGTAGTTTATTGAACACCTAATAAAATTCCTTGAAGTCACTAATTGTAGTTTTTCACTCATGAAATGCATTTATCAAGATTATAAGATCTATTTCAAGCTAATTTTTAAAATAATTCAAATAAAGTCATTTTACCTCTATGTTAATATTAAGATCTGCAGTGACATTATGGTAATTAAAAAATTAACTGACTTCTAAAAATGGTAATTTCTGTAGAACAAAAGCTCTTTATGATATGTGTTTATTTATTCATTTATTTATTTGCTTATTGTGTGTGTGTGTGTGTGTGTGTGTGTGTGTGTGTGTGTGTGTGTGTGTGTCTTTAATGCCTTCTATACCCTGTAAATGCCACGGATATTTTTGTGGAAAATAGCACCTTTCATCCTTCAAAATTGTTTGTGATTTTATTTTTTGTTTGTTATATAAGGACCTAAAACGACTGCTGTTTAGATTTTGTTAATATGAAAATTAATTCTGACTATTGCAGTTGAAGTATCTTAATGTGTAGTTAGAAAGCCTGAAAGCTTTTCTAGTAATATTTCCCTTAAATTTAATACCTGAAAGAAGTACTCACAATTCCATAAATTGTTTAAAAGTGGATATGTATTTGTATTAGAAGTGCACAAAATAATTCTGCTAATATTTTTCAGAATATATCATATTTATATGCTTATTTGAGAAGATCATTTTCTGTTGTGTTTTAAGTGAATATTCTTCTCTGGGCTATTTCATTAAATATTGAGTATTTTTTAAACCTGGTTAAAAACATTTTAAATTAATTTTATCTTTTATTGTCTATAAAGGAATGAGTAGTTACCTTTACTGAAAGGGAATTTCATTTATATCCTAGTCTAACATTTCTGTGACATACCAAGTTATTAGGACTGAATTGATGTTTTAAAGTGCCATTAATTCATTTACCCCAAATGTTCATTAACAATGTAAATGTATGCTGATGTTCTATGAGACAAGGAAGTGACTAATGACTCTTCCAACTAACAACACTTAAAATGAATAGAAACTTTAGATAGCTAATCTTGAAGTAATCAAGACCCTCATTCAGCTTGGCATCTCTGTATGCTCTAAAACAGCTGTCAACTGTTAAAAATATATACAAAACACACATACATGAAGGCACAGAGGAAAGAAAGATATGTAAATATGTTTTTCTAAGCTATAAAGGTTACTAACCATGTGAGTTTTGTGTGTTATATATGTAAACATTGTACATCAAGTACCTATTTGATCTTCTTAAGTTGTCATTTTGCACACACAAAAAATTATGTATTACATTTTCTTGAGGTTGTCATATTTACTTGAAGAATTATCACCTTTGTAGTTTATTTTAATTTGTGTCTTGCATTGCAATTTCTGAAGTAAGTTGAAGCTTTTTGTACATTTCTGCAATAGACTGTAGGGAATTTATGGCTACACAATGACTCCTTGTCTAAATAGATAAACAACAGATTTGGAGGAGTAGTTTTCCCGCCTGGAGTCATCTGCAATTAAAAACAACCCTGTTAGAGATTCCATTAGTAAAGCATTCTTCTATTTTATCAAATCTGAATTCTACCATTTGTAAAGAAACAGTACTATTAAATGATTTGGGGGGTTCTTTTAAAATTAGGCAAGAGAATGGGATTGGAGAAAGAAAGCTACATGTTTTATTTTCATTGGGGAAGAAAAAGAACTGTCCCTACATCTGCGTGACATCTCAGAGCATATTTTCCATGTTAATTATACTTTTAACCTCTTTTTCTAAACAACAAACAGCATAGAAGTAATATATATTCTTTGTGCCTTAGCATGTTTTGTTTAAATTACCACCTTAAATTCCAGAGTCTTTGCTCAAAGAGTGATAATTGACCAGATACACATAATTCCACTGAAATAATACATGAATTTTTCTTTTTGGTTTTCATAATAATTTGTTTTTACCATATGACCTTAAATGATAAATGAAATGAAAGAAATCATTTTAACTGAGGCTGATGATCTCAAGCTACTGGGGAATTTCACTTATTTAGTAGTGTAATTAGGATTAATACTTGTCCTTCCTTCCTTCGTTCCTTCGTTCCTTCCTTCATTCAGTCATTCATTCCTTCTTATTTTTTGGTGTTTCAAGATGGTTTCTCTCCTTAGCCATGGCAGTCCTGGAACTTCCATTGTAGACCAGGCTGGTCTAGGACTCACAGAAATCTGCCTTCCTGTGCCTCCCAAGTGCTGGGATTAAAGGACTGCACTATCACCTGGTGACCTTTTAGAATTTGTTTTTATATACTGATAATTTTATTAGAAAATTAATGACTTTGACCAATGTCATCACTATCTCACCAATATCTTTAAGCGTATTAGTACTTGTATTTTATTAAATGGCTTAGTGTTTTAATGAATTTATTACTTGTTTAATTATGTTATTAGATAATCAGACATGTTGACATGATAGTAAATTAAAGAAATATTTAAGAAGTGATTCAGGATCCATGCCTGAAATCCATATATGAGTGAGTACATACCATGTTTGTCTTTTTGCGACTGGGTTACCTCACTCAGGATGGTTTCTTCCAGTGCTATCCATTTCCCTGCGAATTTCAAGATTCCATTGTTTTTTTTCTGCTGAGTAATACTCCATTGTGTAAATGTACCACATTTTCTCTATCCACTCTTCAGTTGAGGGGCATCTAGGTTGCTTCCAGGTTCTGGCTATTACAAATAATGCTGCTATGAGCATAGTGGAGGATCATAGAAACTTTGTTTTCTGCTTCTTTTGTTCATTTCGTTTTGTTGAGATATGGTCCCATTATATATCCTTGCCTTGATTGAAACTCACTATGTAGGCAAGGTGGGTAGCCTTGAACCCACAGTGAGACATCTGTCTGCCTCTTCCTGCTGCATGAGGGATAAAGGGTGTGCTCACACATCGGACTGACATGTTTACTATCAAACAGAAAGTACTATAGACCATACACCAATTATTAGATTATTTATACAAAATATTCACTGAAAATTTAGTACTTGGGGAAAGAATATTGAACAGTAAATTGATTTCTTTCACAAAATTCATATTTAAATATAGCATTGGTATTAATTGAGAATTTCACACCATGTGTTTTGATCATACTCAGACCTCCATGTCTCTTACTAACTCCACCCCTCCAACTGCTCCCAACTTTGTGTCTATTTTTTTTTAAATAATACTTTGGGTCCAGTTTATGTTGCTCATAAACTCATAGGTCTAAAGCTATCCACTGCAGTTTTATGGACCTACTGAGGTCCACACCTTTAAAGACAAGGGGATCTCCTTCCCTCAGAATCTAGCTGCCTTAGTTAAGGCTGGGCTCCCATATCTTGTCAGTGCTCAGTGTTGACAGGCTTGTTCTCGTGCACTCTCTACACTGAAAACATTTATATTGAATGATGTAAGCAAGAACCAGGAAGACAACGGTCTTACGTTCTCCCCTATATGTTTACATTTGTGTTTCTAACTTGGAAGAAACAGAAATTTCTAACCTGTATAATCCCTAGATCCACTGCTGGGGAGTGATCTTACTGGAGAGTGTATAATAGAATGTGGGTGGTATGAAAGGAAAAGGGAGAATAAAAGTGCAGGATGATTTGGTATGTAGCTGCAAAAAAAAAAACGTCATATTGGAAGCCTGCTATTTCATGAGTTCTATATGTCATATTAAAGAATTTCATGGGTGTTACCCTACAGAGGATAATGCTCCTCCCAGAAGCCAAGTGCCAAGTGTGGGATACCTCCCCTCAATTTGGGTGCCTCAGAGACCCCAGACATTACAGGCTATTGACGAACTGTTTGTTTGGTTTGGTAGGATGGTTGGGCTTCCATGTGTAGCCCTGATTGTCGTAGAACTAGCTCCATATACCTTTTGGTTGTCCATCAGAAGTCACATTTTACTCTTAGATAATAAAACATTTCCCAATTAAATACAGAAATAAAGGGGGAGAAACCAGTGCTAAAAATTAAAACAGGATAATAATACAATGGGTACTTAAAATTGTCAGGGAAGGCCTCTGAGAAAGGCCGGATTTGGCTGTATATGAATACCAAACTAGATTCTAGGCATGTAAAGATGATATCTGTAAAGATGATATCTGTGGGAGGAGTACCACATCTCTGAAAAAAGTAGAGTTCATACAAAGTAAGTCCCCAGGAAAGAATTAAACTTGTTGATAGTAACTGAAGGGAGCTTTCTATATTCTTGGCACTAAGATAACTATTATCAAAACAGCATAGAATGGGCTAGATTAGTGAGGACTTGTAAAATCCTGGCCAGGAAATGTAGATTCATTTTGTAAACTTGAGAATTATTTAATAATTATCTAATACACTGT